GGATGGTGGGTTCACTTCGCTCGGGAGCTCCCGGACGAAGTGAACCCCACCCTCCCCCTCGGAAATCGTGGGGGGTAGGGGTACGGTTCGCATGTGGCCCCCTACCATTGGGAGGAAGGGGGGAGGGGGGAGGAGTGCGACTGTCTGCGACAGTGAGTCCTATGAGGGGAGACTCCACCCGCTCGGAACGGGCACCAAAAAACAGCCAAGATCCACTCCGGGGGGGGGAGGGGGGGGGCGAGGGCCCGCGCCGATCGGCAAAACAATGAATGACAAAAACGATCACTCACCGGCTGTACGGTTTCGGCTTCGTGTGTTTGGCAACATCGGCGCGATGGTTTGTCACCACGGCAGCCCCTACAAAGTTTGCACTCGACACGGCTGCAGTGGCTGCGCGCACTGTGACTGGGGCGCCGCCTACTGCACCGACAGCGGCACAGAGCTCAGGGATCAGAAATTTAAGCGAGGAGGTGCCGGCGATCAGCGTCAGCCACGTCAACCAGGACGTCGTGCAGTTCGTGCTGCTTCGTGGGGAACCAGCAGAGGAGGACCAGACGGGCCAAGTAGGAGGACGATGGCGACGCGCGAAGTCGAAGACTCGTGAAGACGAACAGCACCCAGAACAAAGATCCCCACAAGTTACCGCAACAGCCGACACGACTTGAGAGCCCTCTCCCATCGAGCTGGCGCAGGTGGCATTCTGGACAGAGTGGATGAGATATTCAAGCAAACAGACCAGGGACGCAGTGGAGGCCCGCACGCAGACCACACACTGGGAGTTGTCAGACGAGACATTCGACCAACAGGCGCAGAGCATCAACGGCCAAATTACTCAGCAGCGTCGTCGCTTGGCCAACACCAGGAAGATCCTCCCGAGCCGACTCTGGGACCTCCACCGAGCGCGGGCCCCTGGACGATCCGCCTCTCGCGAGCGAGCTGCTGTGCCGCCCGAAGGGTCTCCCTCGAGATCGAGCTCCTCAATCGACCCCGGGAGGTGCCCGGCTCCCAAGCGCTGCCCAGGGCTCCCAGGCGCCCACGAAGGCTCCTAGGCGCGCTCGAGCGCTCCCAGCCCGTGCCTGGCGTCACCCGAGCGCTCCCATGCGTTCCCCGGGCGTTCCCAAGTGCAGCCCAGGCTCACAAGCGCTCCCGAGCACTCCCAAGCGCGCCCGAGCACTCCTGAGGCAATAGTTCGCGCTCCCGCGAACACGATCCCATGTTGAAGATGCCCATCCGCGCCCCGCACGCACAAACGAACCAGCTCGCCATTCAACCGGGTAGCAAAGCAATCAACCAATCAGCCAACCAGACTGACAACCTACCAGACCACCCCAACCCAACCCGAAGACCCGAATTTCGGGAGCGGGAGGGGGTCTGGGCTCCATAAGATGTGTCAGCTGACTACCTACCAGACTACCCCAACCTAACCCGAAGTCCCGAATTTCGGGTTGGTTTCCACATGCGTTTCTCAATGTTCCCAGACGCCCCGCCACTGGAAATGGCGGGCAAATCGGGGCCTTCGGGTTGGGTTGGGGTGGATTGGTGGGCGGTGACAACCAACCAATCAGCCAACCAAACCACCAACCGAGTGGCCAGCCTGCTAACCAATCAGCCCTACTGACCCAGTCACGCAGGCTATCGGAAGCGAGGGCAGCAGCCCAGAGCGCAGCCCTTGAGACATACACCGGCAACCACTAAGTGTGATAACAAATGCTCGAATCATTCAAATCACGCTGGACGAAATGGAGCGAACAACATCTATGACTACCTACCTAACAACCCCAACCCAACCCAAGATCCACATTTCGGGTTGGGGAGGGTACGGCCTTCATATGTGTTTATTTCAATGTTCCCCGAACGCTCCCCATTGGAAATGGAAGCCAACTTGAGGCCTTCGGGTTGGGTTGGTGTCGTTTGGTGGGTGGTGAATGACAGATGCCCAATCATTCAAATCAAGCTGGACGAAATGGAGCGAACAGCAATTGTGAAGCACGACAAAATCGTGCGCCCACTCATCAGACGTAGGCCTAGGTCGGGCATGCCCCCCTACAGGCGGATTTTGGACGAACAATAAAACATTGCCACACAAATATTCGAACATATCAAAAAACTTCCCCCGACTATTTTTCCATATGTTTCAGAATATTCCTCCTGCAGAAGGACACGCCCGACTTGAACTTAGGTCGGCATGTTCCCCTACAGGCGGATTTTGGACGAAACATAAATCATTGCCATACAAAGATTCAAATATATCAAACCAAAAAAATAGAAATAACAAAAAAAAACCCAAAAAAAAATGACTATGTTTTCACTGTATCAAAATATTCCTCCTGTTGAAGGACACGCCCGACTTGACCTTGGGTCGGCCATGTCCCCCTACAGGCAGATTTGGGACAAAACACACACACAATATTCAAAACATGCTCGAAAATAATCCAAAATTGTCAAAATACAGGCCTCGGAACAAATTAGCCAACAGATGCCACATTCATCCGCCAACGCCTCCCCCCCCCCCAATGTTCAAAGTTGGTGGCGGGTCTGATGAGATGCACTTCGACCGCAGTCTCCCGCGCGCGTGCCAACGTTGAGTTTGGGGGGGGGGAGGGGGAGTGTTCAGTAATTGTTTCCTTCTACCGTATCATCCCCAGACTATCTTTCGACTATTCCTGAATACCCCTCCCGTAGAGGCCACGCCCGACTTAACCTCAGACCCTCACGAGCAACGGCTGGTGTTGGAAAACCGCCGTGCGACGTGGCGCCGCCGACCCGCTGCCCACGCGCCGCACCCCGCCCCGGGGGGACAGCGTGCACCGCAGAAACCCTGGCACGGGGGGCCAGCGTGCACAGCAGAGGCCTCTGCTCGGGGGATCGCTTGACAAAGTCGGCGTGTCTCTCTAGGGCAACGAGCAACGACAGAACTGTGAAAAAACTCGGAGGTCCGCGCGAATTTCTCGGATCGGCGCTTGACCGCCATCCCCGGCGCGCGCAGGGCGCCAAGGGCGGCGCCGGAGAAGCGTCTGGGGGACCCAGCGCGGATCTAAGAGATCCGTGCGCCAAAAATTCGTGTTGATGGCGATTTGTCTCCTTCGAGATGCTGCACGCTGTCTTGCCAGCGCCAGCCGTATCCAGCCCCCCCCCCTTCCCGAGGGAGCAGCCGCGCCGGCACCTTGGCCCTGATGTCCGTCAGCATGCGCGTGGGCAGCCACGCCGTCAGGCGCTTGTGCTTGAAAGTCACCTCGGGGGCGCGGGGCGGTTGCCAGCGGCTTCCAGGCTGTCCGCACTCGTTCTTGCCTTCTCGTGGAGGCCTGGAGATGGGCACCAACACCAACACAGGGGGCTGTATCCACAAGGGGAAGATGATCATATATCTCGGTGTTGGTGGTAGTATGTCGGTCACCTTGGAAGCCAGAATATTACCACCATCACCAAGGTCGGGATCGTCTTCCCTCGGTGAAGGCACACCGCCGATATTGGTGTTGGTGTCAACCTCTAGGCCTGCGAGAATTCTCTCCTCCACATGGAGACGAAACCAGGATGAGGACAAACTCGGGAGAGGGTAAACTCGAGAGTCTCTGAGATCCCGCGGCTCTGGAGGATGTCTCGGGCGCCGTGACCTTCCCAGAGCGTGCCTGAACACCCTGGAACGGATTCATCCTCGTCCTAGCTCCGTCGGAGAGATCCTCGGCTTAATGCGAACCCACAATTTCATAGCAAAGAAACCTTTGGGCCAGAAACACAATCAATGTCTGTGTGACCCAAGATCGCCAGGGCCACGTCTTTCGACATCACGCGAATCTTGGCATGCGGCACAAACTGAAACGCGGAACCTCCGCAGCCGGCGCAACCACGGGGGAATGATAGTACGTCTTCCGTTGCAGGGAACGCAGTACCCCGTCTGAGAGGGGACGGGAGAGACCTCCCTTTTACAAATTCCGAGGCTCACATCAATCTGAGCATGCTCCACATGCGTCCTCCGTCTTCCCCACTATATATCATTCGTCCTCCGTCTCCACGTGCGTCCTTGCCCTCCACATGCATCCTCCACATGCGCCCTCCGTCTCCACATCACATGCGTCCTCGCCTTCGTAAATTTAGCAGCAACTCGCGGAAATTGGTCGGCATCATTACGCTAAACAGCGCGCCCAAGCGCGCGCAAAACGGACATGATGCATCTCCCTCGCATCGAGCGTTCTTGGCAGCTTTTGGAACGCAAGGTGAGCGCGGCCCGGCGCTACTGGCTGCTGTTTGGCGCCATGGAGCGCGATTGGGCGCTAGCCACCGATATACGCTTATGTCGGGCCTGTCCCCCTACAGGGGGATCTTCGACGAAAAATAAAAAATACCCTACAAATAATCAAAACATAGTCCAAAAATAGTCCAGGGACTATTTTGTGTGTATTTTTGGAACAGTTTGGAGTATGGTTTGAAGTATTCTTTATGTTTCGTCGAAAATCCCCCTGTGGGGGGACACGCCCGACATAATTATGCGCTCAATCCAAGACAAGCGGTAACATCTCTCTGCTCCGAACCCCCACGGACGGCCCCCAGCAGGCTCTCTCGCGCACCCTCCGGCCCCAGAGCCACACCTCCGACGCGATGCTGTATCATGTGCGTGGGGGGGAGACAGCGAGCATGTGAGACATCACAACTCGCCATCGCTCGGACGTCCATTCCCTGTGCATTTTTCGATTTCGTGCGTGTATTTTTCGTAAGGTGACCCACAATGTTCCTCGATGGTCCTCGCCGAGAACAACAAATCACACGCCCGAGCGAGCGATGCCAAGACAACCAGCTGGGACGGATTTGAACCATTTCGGTACCAATCCCAACCAAGTGGTACCATTTACAGCCGTTCTGGAAGCTCCTTAGCGGCTTCCTGGAGGTCCATTAGAGGCTCCTTCGAGGCTTCTTAGAAAAAAGCTCCTTAGAGGTTCCCTTGCACTTCTTTAGAGATTCCTCAGGAGCTCCTTCGAGACACTTCAAGGATTTCGGACGAATTCTTTAGGATTTCTGAGGCTCCCGGGGGATTTCCGAGGGTCCCTCAGATGGATCGAAGCAGATACACATCAGAGTGAGGGGGCCGAATACACATCAGAGTGAGGGGGCCGAACGGTCACTGTCCCGAGTGTACGAAGGCCTCCGCAGCGCGGCTTCTGCTTGTTGTTGATGTTGTTGCGTTGCGTTGCGTCTTTGTTGTCGTCGTCGCACCCGCGGCCCGCCCGCGACTCACCCCGCGACCCACCCGCGACCCACACGCGACCCACCCGCGACTCAACCCGCGACCCACCCACGACCCACCCCGCAACCCACCCGCGACCCACCGCGCGATACACCCGCGACCCAACCCGCCACCCACCCCGCGACCCACTCCCGACCCACCCCGCGACCCACCCGCGACCCACCCGTAACCCACGCGCGACCCACCCGCCCCGCGACCCAACCGCGACCTACCCGCGACACACCCGCCCCGCGACCCAACCTCGACCCAGCCGCGACCCAGCCGCGACCTACCCGCGACCCGTCCGCGACCCAACCCGCCCCACGACCCACTCGCGACCCACCCACATTGCTTTAACAAACAGATCGGCGCCCGCGGCGGGCTCGCTGTATGATGTCAAAAAAATCGGGCACCTGCGGCGGGCTTCTTCAGAGCCTCGTCGACTGCGGACGTCCCCGCCGCCCCCTCACTCTTACCCGCAACTGCGGGGTGCCACGTACATCGAGGAAGATCCACTTACATCGAAGCACATCCAAAGATTAGCGTTAGGTCGGGCATGTCCCCCTACAGGCGCATTTTGGACGACAAATAAAACTAGTCAAAAAATACACCCAGAATAATCAAACATACTTGGAAAGTCGTCCCCAGACGATCTTTCTGACAAGTTTTGAACATTCCACCTGTGAAGGGACAGGCCCGACTTACATTTACATCGAAACGCATCCAAAAATTAGCGAGGTCCCAGAACTCCCGACTCCCTCCCAGGGGCTAGTCTGTCGCCCCCGGTGCATTTTTGATCGCCCCCCGGCCTGGCCCCTCGAGGCCGAAATGGAGGAAACACGCCTGAGCTGATGAAAATTTTTGATCGCCCCCCGGCCTGGCCCCTGGAGGCCGAAATGAAGGAAGCACGCCTGAGCTGATGAAATCACATCTAAAGGAAACTCCTCCTCCTCCTCCTCCTCCTCGTCCTCCTCCTCCTCCTCCTCCTCCTCCTCCTCCTCCTCCTCCTCCTCCTCCTCCTCCCCTCCCCCTCCCCCTCCCCCCTCCTCCCCCTCCTCCCCCTTCTCCCCTCCCCCCCCCCCCCTCCCCCTCCTCCTTCCTCCTCCTTCTGAAATACTCCACGGGCGTTCGAACCCCCCTGGGAAGCGGACCCCCCCGACCCCGCACCAACAAAAACCCTGGGACGCCCATCAGCCGCGCTCCTCGGGGGCGGCGGGGCGGGGGCACGCCGCGGACCCCTCCGCCCGCGGCCGTGGGCCCGCCTGCGAGGTCCCGTCGGACTCGTCGTCCTGGATGACCGAGCCCAGCTGGTTGCACACGTCGACGAGCCTGCAGGGGGGTGCCAGGACAGGCCCGCGCCGCGCCACAAAGGGACACACTGCGGGCGGTTCCTGGCAGCGGTCGGCCTCCGGAGGGCCCCTCGCCGGGCCCCGGGGATGGACCGGGACCGAGACCTCCGGGTGTCCACGCCAGGAAGAAATCGTAGCTGCGGCGGCCTGGGGCCAAAGGTCACCTCTCCCTCCCCGCCCTATCCTTCCCCCTCCACAATTACACAATATGAAAATACTCTCCCATTTCCCCTGGTGGCGTCCCGAAGATATCCGACACCCCCCCACGTATTGTTTTTTACACACAAGATTCCCGGGAAACTCATTTTCGGGCCCCGCTCGTTCCGAATCGTGCTCCCGCTGCAGCGCTGGCCTCATTTCCGTGCTTCCGCTCGTTCCGAATCGTGCTCCCGCTGCAGCGCTGGCCTCATTTCCGCGCTTCCGCCCGTTTCGACTCGCGCTCCCGCTGCAGCGCTGGCGCCATTTCCCGTGCCATGCCACAGCACACGCGCACACGCGCACACGCGCACACGCGCACACGCGCACACGCGCACACGCGCACACGCGCACACGCGCACACGCGCACACGCGCACA